ACGTCTTGATTATACAAGTACTACCGCTATATCTAGTTAGCGTTCACGTAGACCCCCGCTGTCATAACAATACTCAAATTCTAACGTGCTCTAGCTAGATGGTGAGTTAGGCGCTTTAATATAACTAAAAAAATCATAGTTGAACTAAACGATAAAACGAATAATAAATGAACGGTAAACGAATCAATAACAAAATAAAGTAGAATTCGCTAACTCGCAACACGAGAGAGAGAGAGAGGGAGAACCTTGATGGAGTGTGTTTTGGTGTTATATTATCTCGTAGTGAAGGCGTGTTTGAACCTGTTGCAGTTTTTCGAACAACTTTCCTGAAGAACCAACCCTGAAAACTCAACGGTTAGTCTGAGGGATTATAACGCTAAAAATCGGAATTTCGATACCTGCAATGGGCATAATATAGACAACCCATCGTATAGCTTTGCGCATAACAACAAAGAAAAGATATTTCAGTAAAAAAAAAAAGCACACTACTTGGATTTAGTTATCACTATTGTCAGCCAATCATTCAAGTTCAAATAAAACGGATACTTTCAACTTATAAATTTTCCATTTCTCAATACAAGTTAATATTTCACACAAGTTACGTCACAATGTTTACTACTCTCAGCTAATTAGATGTAATAAAATTTGTTCTACATCAGAAAACTACGTGGATGTTGCTCGTAAACTTATTTGCATTTTTCACAAACGAGGTGTTTGTTTGAGGTTAAGCACAAAGCTACACAATGGGCTATCTGTGCTCTGCCCACCAAGGGTAGCGAAACCCAGTTTCTAACGTTGTAAGTCCGCAAACATACCGCAATGCTACTCGGGGCCAAGCGAGGTGTCTGTGCGCTTCTTACCATGAGTGTCAAAACCCTGTTTTTAGCATCATAAATCTATAGATTTGCCGCTGTGTCACTGGAAGACTATTTTGTTGTACGGTCACGTTCATTAGAAGAAACGTAAGGTTTAAATTTTAGACTTCAGGAAAATGTTTCATAATATTTTTACTGTTTTTATGTCCCCATTGTGATGAAGAGTGGAGCATATTGTCAAAAGTCAGTGTCACATTGGGGACAAAGGTGTTTCATATACACATTTTGCATTTGTTAGTAAGAATTCTGATTGTCAATATATGTAATTGTTTGTAGTATACGTCATTGTTTAGAAACTTAATTAATATGCTGTGTAATGTTATTAGAATTTTCTGAATTGAGACACTTGTATCACAAAAACAGTTTAAACAAAACGTTATGAAGTAGACTTATGAGATTATACACATTTCATTGGAGCTGCCTTTTAAGTTTACAGTTGTATATATAGTTTGGTAAAATTTTGACTTAGTTTCAGGTTTGATTAAGTACAAGATATATATACTATTTCTAGTGCTATCTGGTTTCTTCTCTGTCAATAAATCTAATTGGTTACTTAACTTTAGGCTCATTTCCATTGGTTTATCAATCAGTTCATCAAATTATTTTTGTATTAATAGATGTATTACCAAAAAAAATGATTAGAAAGATTTTTCAATATTTTCTGTTTGATGGACAGTTTAAATCAAGTCTCAAGAATGAAATAAAGACAGAACATAGTTTACGTAGGATTAATCTTTAAATGATTTTGTTAAGTACTAAAACTTTTGCATTTTTGAATATCTTACATTTGAAATTCTGTTTTCCAGCCATGAATTTAACACAATTTTAAGGCAAAGAAAAAAAAAAAGAAAATATTTTGGCGTTATATGCGAAACTTGTTCAAAAATGAACTCAAAAGAGTTTGCATATCACGCTTTTGAATTCCAGCTAGCAAAACTGCCTCAAATCTTGTTTGATTGTATTGGCGTTTTTTAATACATACCTTGCTTTTTATTTTGTATTATGAGCCAGTACTCTGTACTCTGTTTTGTAAATGCATGTTCTCTGATTAATTATTCGACTAACCTTCTTGCGTTGGCTATGATGAACTCATGTGCAAAAAATATATTAATTGATTAGTTCGATGTTTTTACGCTTAATTTTGAGTGTTCTAAATATGTTTTAGAGCTTGCTGATGAACACATTTCTCAGGTGAATAAGATTTTTGGTAACAACGTTGTTAGCTTCATTGTAAGAGGCTGGAAAAGTATACCATAAGCTTAAACGATGTGACACAATCAAATCGGTCGACTGTTTTATTAACTTTAAAGCATGTTGCTTGTAATTTTTAATGCATGGGCTTTGTGAATGTGATAGTAATAATTCAACTTGCAGTTAATTAGTACTAATTATTGATGTGTAGTAGCTGTCATGCATTTTATTTTTGTGCACTTTTTTAGCCTCTTACCCAAAGACATAAAAAAATATTTTAAAAACTATTATAAGCCCCATTACTGTGTCATGGTGGAGAAGGGTGGTCGGAGGCTGCAGTTATACAATATATATTGACATTATCGTATAATATGGTCAAGAGAAAAACGCTGATAAAAAAAAAAGAGTGAAAACACATGAAAAAACACAGAGAATTTAAAAATGAAGATTCAGTGGACACCCTGAATTTAACACCATGTTCTGTTTCTCTCCGATATGAATTTAACACTACGTATTACCTATGTACCTCAGATATGGATTTGATAGTGCACATTATTGTGTCTCTTATTTATGGTTTAACACTACACGTTTGTGTATCTCAGATATGTATTCGGTATTACATATTTGATGCTATATTGCCTAGTAATGGATTTCACACTAAAGTCAATGGTAATTTATTACAGCTTCAGACGAGATGGTACAGGCATGGAATAGAAGTGACATGGAGTCTATCATAGCAAACTTCACCAACAGTTACAAAGTTAGAGAAAATGAACTAGATTTTAAGGAAAGATTGTACATAGAAGGTAATGAGATTTGTTAACCCTAAATTTTAATCAGATATACTTAAAAGTATTGCTTTTTTAATACACTGTAAATTACATCCTAATACAACACCAACATTCTCGTGAGAAATAGCTGAAATTAAAATTAAATTGTAGCCGTTATTCTAGTTTAAATTTGATGTGGAAATGTTAGAATCAGTTTTCACCTCTATAATTAATCTGAGATTTAATAAAAATTTAGCAATGCTTGGTACAATAATTACTTTTGGAAACTAATATGCACTGGGTTAGTTAATTTTGCAGTTTCTAGTAGCTTTTCTGTTACATCACTGTGACACATTTTAAAAAAGTTCTGTGAACATTACAAATTTATGTACAGAATAACCTAATTCATAGTTTTACTACATTAAGTTTTTAAAGTAGCAAAGGAAAAAACATATTTCAAACTTTTGTGAGAAAAATTTCAATTCCAAGTACTCAACTACAGTCATCTGTGGGGTCCTATGGAAGATGTTAAATAATTAAGATATGGACTAGTGTGCTTATTAAGGATATAAGGTAGAAATCTAATTTAAATTATTAAACTCCTTCAAAGAGTTTTTAATATATTTCATTTGAAAATAAACACTATCTGCTCCCATTGGCTTGTGAGTTTTTAAAGAATTATTTGAAAACATATAAATTTCATTACTGAATTAACTAATTCAACCTGAAAGATATGAATTCGGTATATAATGATATACAACAGTTTTTTTTTTTTGCGGTATTGATGTAGTGGCACCACTTATGTATAAAAAAATGTTTTATGTATTCCAGAGGACAACAGTGATCCAATACAGGAATGATTCCTTCCTTATGTCTGTTAAATAGTAAATAACACGTATCATTACACATGTTAACATATAACTACTAATTTAGATTTAAAAAAAAACACCAAAATATATTTTAAAATACAATAAGAGTTCAATTTATTATTGTGGTTATAAAGTTTAGAGTTAACACATCATAAAATAATTACATATTCCTCATTTGTTTGTATTGATTAATAGTTTTTTGTACAAAATTGAAAGTAAAAAATATATATATATTTGTAACTGAAGAAAAATGTAAAATTTTAATTGACAAGAAAGTTATTTCAAATCCATGCATGCCAATAAAGAAGTTTTTTTTCTGGTAGTTTTACCCAAAGACAATGGTTCTTTAAAATGGGAATTTTGTCAATATTTCAGATTTTGTTATTTATATATATTATGTTCATCTTATACCACAAATGTTGAAAGCCATACAGAGTACCTGAAAATTATTTTTAGTCTTGTCCATAACCCACCTATAAAAAATGTAATATTTTATATACCTTGTACATTGATTGTTTACATTCCACTTTCAGTCATTGTTAGTGCCACTGATCACTGTCACAGTGTGAGTTTTATTCTGTATTACGTATTACTATTTCGAATGGTCTGAAACCGAGCTAAATAATTTAAATTTATCAGTTAAATAAATGCCGATATATCTCCAATTTATTATATTTGCCAACAAGATTGATACACACAGTTTTCTTTGTTTTATACAAATATGTTTTAAAGTACAAACAATTTACAATAATGGTTATTACAAACAATGATTTATATACAAAAGTTTCACAAACTCACAAGCAATATAAAGTCTTCTTTCTAGTCTGGAGCTTCCTTGATATCTTATCGAGGGTTGAAGATGAGCGAGTTAATGTAGATACAATTCACTTAACAGGAAGCTAGCTAGCCCTGTAGTTCTCATTCATCACATGCTGATATTTTTCCTACCGGTGACGTTAGGTAATGTTTTCGTAAAAGTACTAATATATGATGTGAATCCACTGAAGTTAAATGGTTTGTAACGTTGGAAATTTATAAATGTTCCTGGT